ACCAGTAGTGCATAAGAGTTCCCATCTCCCCGCAGCCCCTCCAACATTTGTTATTTCCAGTGTTTTTGATTCATGCCAGTAATGCCGGGGTGAGATGGTATCTCATTGTGGTTTTCATTTGCATTTCTCTAATGGCTAGTGATCGCGAGCATTTCCTCATGTGTCTGTTGGCCATCCAATGGCATTTTTTAATGAGATGGAAAAACAAATCACCAACTTCACATGAAAGGGAAGAGGCCCCAGATAAGTAAAGCATTACTCAAGAAGAAGAACAGAGTAGGAGGCCTCACACTACCTAATTTTAGAACCTATTATACTGCCAAGTAGTCAAAACAGTCTGGTACTGGTACAACAACAGATACATAGACCAATGGAACAGAATTGAGAATCCAGACGTAAATTCATCCACTTATGAGCAGCTGATATTTGACAAAGGCCCAGAGTCTGTTAACTGGGGAAAAGACAGTTTCTTAATAAATGGTGCTGGCATAAACGGATACCATATGCAAAAAAATGAAACAAGACCCATACCTCACATCATGCACAAAAACTAACTCAAAATGTATCAAAGACCTAAATATAAAATCTAAAACGATAAAGATTATGGAAGAAAAAATAGGGACAATGCTAGGAGCCCTAATACATGGCAAAAACAGAATACAAAACATTACTAACAATGCACAAACACCAGAAGAGAAACTAGATAACTGGGAGCTTCTAAAAATCAAATACTTATGCTCATCAAAAGACTTCACCAAAAGAGTAAAAAGACAACCTACAGACTAGGACAAAATTTTTGGCCACAACAAATCCGATCAGCGTCTCATCTCCAAAATCTACAAGATACTGTAAAACCTCAACAACAAAAAGACAAATAACCCAATTAAAAAATGGGCAAAGGATATGACAGTCACTTCACCAAAGAAGACATTCAGGTGGCTACCAGATACATGAGGAAATGTTCACAATCATTAGCCATTAGAGAAATGCAAATCAAAACTACAATGAGATACCATCTCACCCTAACAAGGCTAGCATTAATCCAAAAAACACAAAATAACAAATGTTGGAGAGGTTGTGGAGAGACTGGAACACTTATACATGGCTGGTGGGAATGTAAAATGGTACAACCACTTTGGAAATCGATTCGGCACTTCCTTAAAAAGCTAGAAATAGAAGTACCACATGATTCAGCAATCCCACTCCTTGGAATATATCCAAGAGAAATAAGAGCCATCACTTGAATAGATACATGCATATCCATGTTCACTGCAGCAGTGTTCACAGTAACAAAAAGATGGAAACAACCTAGGTGCCAATCAACGGACAAATGAATAAATTATGGTATGTTCACAGAAAGGAATACTACCCAATGATAAAGAACAACAATGAATCTGCGAAACTTCTCATAACATGGATGAATCTGGAAGGCATTACGCTGAGTGAAACTAGTCAGTCACAAAAGGACAAATACAGTATGAGATCACTATTATAAGAACTCAACAAAAGGTTTAAACACAGAAGAAAACATTCTTTGATGGTTATGAGGGTGGGGGGGAGGGAGAGTGGTATTAACTAACTAGACAGTAGATAAGAATTATCTCAGGTGAAGGGCAGGACAACATACAATATGGGGGATGTCAGCACAACTGGACTAAACCAAAAGCTAAGAAGTTTCCTGAATATAGCCAAACACTTTGAGGGACAGAGTAGCAGGGGCAGGAGTCTGAGGACCATGGTTTCAAGGGACATCTAGGTCAATTGGCATAACAAAGTTTATTAAGAAAACGTTCTGCATCCCACTTTGGCGAGTGGCATCTGGGGTCTTAAAAGCTAGCGAGCGGCCATCTAAGATACATGATTGGTCCTAATCCACCTGGAGAAAAGGAGAATGAAGAAGACCAAAGACACAAGGAAAATACTAGCCCAAGAGACAGAAAGGGCCACATACACTAGAGACTCTATCAGTTTGAGAACAGAAGAACCAGATGGTGCCTGGTTACCACCAACGACCACCCTAACAGGGAACTCAACAGAGAGTCCCTGACGGAGGAGGAGAACAGTGGGGTACAGAACTCAAATTCTAGTAAAAAGACCAGACTTAATGGTCTGACTGAGACTGGAGGGGACCCAGAAGACATTGCCTCCAGATTCTCTGTTAGGCCAGAACTGAAACCATTCCCAAAACCAACTCTTCAGACATAGATTAGACTGGACTATGGGACATACAATGATACTCCTGAAGAGAGTGCTTCTTAGCTCAGGTAGATACATGAGACTAAATGGGCAGCTCCTGTCCGGAGGCGAGATGAGAACGCAAAAGGGGACAGGAACTGGTTGAATGGACACGGGAAATCCGGGGTGGAGAGGAGGAGTGTGCTGTCACATTATAGGGAGAGCAGCTAGGGTCACATAGCAATGTGTGTACAAATTTTTGTATGAGAAACTGAAAAAAAAGATGTACAAAAAGTTCTGGCTCCTCCAATTATTAGCTAAGCAACTTGAGTTGACTTAATGAACTTTTCTGAAAGTTAGCTTTCTCATCTGTAATATGATGAGAATATCTTCACCTGCTATACCTACCTACTGGAATTGCCAAAAAAAAATCAAACACTCTAGTATCTTCTGAGAAATACATACGAAAATACTTCAAAAAATTAGAAATCATTTTTTGGCATACATACCTGACATGTCTTTCCCTCAATGAGCTGAATTATTTTTAATAACTATTAGTAATTCACGTGAAGGACCCTGGTGGTACAACAGTTAAGTGCTCAGTTACTAACTCAAAGGTTGGTGGTTCAAACTCACCCAGCTTCTCAGCAGAAGAAAAGACCTGGCAATCTGCTCCCATAAAGATTACAGCCTAGAAAACCCTATGAAGCAGTTCAACTCTGTCACATGGGATTGCTATGAGTTGAAATAGACTCAATGGAACCTAACAACAACAGTAATTCACATAGATGTTAATTCATTTTCAGACTTAACCCTTCCATATTATATTATTTTCTTCAATAAAGAATAGAAGATGATTTGGGAACTATCCATGTATAGGTCTCTAATTCCTTATAAAAAACCAGAAGTCCTAAAAAATAATAAAAAAAAAAAAATTTCATAGGTTTTCACTAAAGTTTACTTGAAGGCAAACTCTAACCTGAATTGTTGTGAGGCTATTTATGATCTTCATTTATCCCCCTAAGAATGAATCTTCATATACTTTATGTCAGAAATAATGTGTTTGATCACATGGGTGCTGTTACAGACATTACTGGGTGTATTATGAAATATACAGAATATGTCCTTATTGCCTTTCTAAAATCCAAAATATTCTGAATTCTGAAACACATCTCCCTCCAAGGGATTTTTGTGCAGTGGTTAAGTGCTCAGCTGCTAACTGAAAGGTTGGAGGTTCGAATCCATCAGCCACTCCATGGAAGAAAGATGTGGCAGTCGGCTTTGTAAAGATTACAGCCTTGGAAACCCCATGGGGCAGTTGTATTCTGTCGTATAGCCTTGGAAACCCTATGGGGCAGTTCTACTCTGTCATATAAGGTCTCTGTGAGTAGGAATCGACTCAATGGCAGTGGGTTTGGTTTTGGGTTTTATATCTGGATCTTGGCCTGAATGGAAAGAATGAGTGGAAAAGTTTTTCCCATTTCCAATTTAGCTAGTATTGAGAAGCAGAAAAGCAGACCCTAGGTCTTCTCTAGCTATCAGGTGTAGCAGCTGTTTTCAAAGCTCAGTAGTACATTTTTCTTGATTTCTTTTTTAAAACATGACATAAATATCTATGAATAAATATGATGTGATTTTTAGACTATTTATTTGTATTTGGATATATCTGCATTTATACATAAATAATTCAATTCAGAAAGACTTTGTTGAATACCCAAGATTCAAGTGAATCATGTTTCATCAATAAAAGCAATTATTAGTAGCAATCACAACAGACTGTTGATATCTTAAGCATAAGTGATAACTAATGTTCTAGTTAAAAAAAAAAAAAGGTTAATAGATGTTTAAGGATTTTGAACTGTCCTGAAGGACAGTTTTTTGTATGGTAACTGAAAAACTCTGATATTTATTCAATTTTGATCTAATTACTTATTCTTTTAGAAAATAATAGAGAATTTTAAGAAATGTCACCCGTTGATTTAAAATTTTTATACGCTATCTCATGGTGCTAAAGAAAAATATTAAGTAAACTAAGGCTTATTAAGGTCTATCTTTGGGAGACCGGACATATTATATGTAGTAATTTTTTGGGACAAATATAATTATGGAGATAGCTGGACTAATTATCGGAAATTGAGCCTATCCTGGGAAATCTAGAAATGGAAAGTTACCCTACAAATAATAAATCTATTCTTCTTTTTTTTAACAAAATTATTTTTATTATAAAAGTAACACATGATCATGTCACAATATCTTGGCAGATAGAGAAAAAATAGGAGAAGAAAATAAGACTAACTCATAACGCTCCCATATCCACTTACAGAAAATCACTATTAACATTATAGTCCATAGCTACAGACTTTAGACTGGGTCTTATCTCAGGCTATGGCACCACTTACCTAATCCTGCATGGAACAATCTGTAAGAGTTCTGACTACTGGAAGTTAAAATACACTCACCTCCACAGAACATTCATAAACTGTGTCATCTAACAAGTAAACCTTGCAGTGCATGTTTCTTTGTCTTCTGATTGATTTCTGGGAAGCTTTTAATTCCCTTTCCGCTTTTGATTCAGGACTTCCTTCTTTTACTTCTGTGTTGCAGCACTCTTCAAGTCCTCCTCCTTCCTTAGTTTCAAAATCTGGATCTTCTCTGCGTTCTTCCTGCGCGGGCTACGTATCCATAACATCACCAAGTCAATAATAAAGACATTTCATATAACATGCTGTATATACTTTTTACCTATAATATAGCTACCAATAAAAACACCAACACAAAAACTGTTAAAACAAATATAAGAAAGTGATATTAGGATTAAATAATTATTTTCCCATAAAGGATCATATGACACCCCAACCCACCCTACCCCTCCCCACCAAAAAAATCTACAGACCGCTATTCTTAAAACTCCTCAGATAAAATTATTTCAAAGCAATAAATAATGGTTTCGGGAAAACCAGAGGACACCAATCTATTGCTCTCAGCATTATATATTCTTCCTGACTATGCCATTATATGATGTTATTAAAATCTATCAAAACTTTGAAATCTCTACCCCATGCTAGTCAATTTTAGTGAGGTAGATTTATGAATTGCAAAATGAGATATGATTTGCTACATATTCTAAATTTTATAAATGGCTGAGAGTGGTGTCTGGGGATCAGTTTTAGAGCATAAAGCAACATATGTAATAGGCTAAAAACCGTAACTCTCAGTTAACTCCTTCCTATCAGCTATCAACCATGCTAAAGAAGATTCAAAGAAGAAATAGATTGAAATCTGGGTCTCCTAGGGTAACCAATAAGTCATCACTAAGTAATACGGGGAACTGAGACAACACTTTGGTGTATACTGACTTCCTGGAGCCCTGGTGTCACAGGGGTTAAGAGCTCGGCTGCTAACCAAAAGGTCCGCAGTTCAAATCCAACAGCCGCTCCTTGGAAACCCTAAGGCGCAGTTCTACTCTGTCCTATAGGGTCCCTATGAGTTAGAATAATCAACTCACTGGCAGTGGGTTTGGTTTGGGTTTGGGTGTGCCTTCCAACATAATGAAACTGTTGAAAGATTCTTAACAAACTAATTCTTTTCTTTCAAAAGAAAAAAAAAATGGTATATTTAAGAAAAAGGATTTAATTATTTGGCTCCTGCATTAGATACTAGAAGTGGTCTAAAAGGTTCCTTCTCATCCTGCATGACCCTCTTAAATGTAAGCTCTTCAGAGAAGCCTTCACTGGCTATCCTGTCTACCATATCCCCACTCTACTATTCTTCATGTCAGTACACTGTTTGTGGCCTTCATAACACTTACTACAATAAATAATTATTTTGTATTTACAAACTTTTTGTCTCCTCCATTAGACTATAATTTCCACAAGGGTAGGGATGATGTTTGTTTAATAATAATAAGCAAACACTTATATAGCATTTACAATGGGCCAGTTACTGGTCTAAGAGCATTACTTATATGAACTCATTTAATCTTCATAACACCCTGTGAGGAGGGTACTATAATTATCCCCATTTGACAGATGTGAAACTAAGGATACAGAAGTTAAAGAAACTTGTCTAGGATCACATAGTCAATAAGTTACATACCGATCTGGCTCCAAAACCCATGATCTTAAACCACTTCGCCATATTATAGTTTTTATTACCAATGCATATCAAGCCTAGGGCTTGGCACACATAGTAGGTATTCAGTAAATATTGGTTGAATTAATAAATAAACATTAAAAACCGACATATGACTTCTAAAAAATAATCTAAGGTACCCTGGGTGAAAATTGGTACAAACCTATAATGCAGATTCATTTTTTATAAAAACTCTGTAATGTCCATCAACAGATGAATGGATAAACAAAATGTGGTACATACATAAAATGGAATACTACTTGTCATGGATTGAACTGTGTCCCCCCAAAATATCTGTCACCTTGGCTAGGCCATGATTTCCAGTACTGTGTGATTGTCTACCATTTTGTCATCTGATATGATTCTCCTATGTGTTGTAAATTCTACCTCTATGATGTTAATGAGGTAGGATTAGAGGTAGTTATGTTAATGACACAGGACTCAATCTACAAGATTAGGTTGTGTTTTAAATCATTCTCTTTTGAGATATAAAACAGATTAGCAAGCAGAGAAACAGAGGGACCTCACACCACCAAGAAAGCAGGGCTGGGAACATAACCCCTTTGGACTCAGGGTTCCTTTGCTGAGAAGCTCCTAGACCAGGGGAAGATTGATGACAAGGACGTTCCCCCAGAACCAACAGAGACAGAAAGCCTTCCCCTAGAGCTGGCACCCTGAATTTGGACTTCTAGCCTCCTAAACTGTGAGAGAAAAACTTCTCTTTGATAAAGCCATCCACTATGATATTTCTGTTACAGCAGCACTAGATAACTAAGACACTACTCATACAGTAGGAGAAATGAAGTCTTGATACATGCTATAGTATGGATGGAACAGGAGGACATTATGCTGACTGAAATAAGCCAATCACAAAAGGTCAAATATTATATGACCTCACTTATATAAAAAGACAAGAAAAGGCAAATGTACAGAGACTAAAGTTTATTAGTGGTTACCAGGGGTGGGAACGAGGGGGAAAAGAAGAGTTAATGGTGATGGAAAAATCTGCATTGACTAAGCACAGCTGATTATTTTGATTGCTATCAATAAGCTGTACACCTGTAAAAAGTTGAGTTGGTAAAAGTGTGATATTTACGCCAAAAAAAAAAAAAAAAGAGTAACTGCTGAGGCTGCTTATGTACAACCAAACACCTCATGGGATTTGGTTCCTTGGTTTGGAGGTTTAGGGTCATGGTTTCATGGGACATCCCAGTTAATTGGCTTAATAACGTGTTTAGTGCTAAACTTAGTTTGTTGCATAGTGCTTGGGGTCTTAAAAGCTTGCAAGCGGCCATCCAAGTCACAACGATTGGTCTCTGTTCATCTGAAGCAAGAGAGGAAGAAGGAGAGTCAGGAATAGGAGGAGGATAAGGAATCTGTGACTAATGACCTCCATGAACAACTGCCTCCTTTGCCATGAGATCAGAAGAACTGGATGGTACCCAGCTACCATTACTGAATATTTTTATCAAAGATTCCATAGAAGAATCCTGATCAAAAGGGGGAAAATGCAGACCAGAATTTCCAATTCTCATGGACTCCAGACTTTCTGGAGCCATGAAGGGTGGATGATCCCCTGAAACTATTGCCATGACATCATCTTTAAACCTTAAACCAAAAATATCCCCTGAAGTCATGTTAAAACCGAACAATAGTTGAGCTTAACTAGTAAAAAATGTCTGGCTTGAGCAATATACTTTTTAAAAAACTATCTATATGGGATTAAATTGAAATAGCAACTCAAAAGATTAGATAGGAACCTTAGGGGGCACTGAGTTTATGTTAATGAGGGAGGTACAACTCAGAAAACGAGGGTGAGAATGGTTGCACAACTTAAAGAATGTAATCAATGTCACTGAATTGTACATGTAGAAATGGTTAAATTAGTGTGTGTTTTGCTGCGTATATTCTCAATAACAACAACACATAAACAAAATTTAGGAAAAAAAATTCTGTAAACTAGAGATCTGGATAGCAAAATCAAAAACAAAACAAAAAAAACCCCATTGCCATCGAGTCAATTCCGACTCATAGCAACCCTATAGGACAGAGTAGAACTGCCCCATAAAGTTTCCAAAAAGTGGCTGGTGGATTTGAACTGCCGATCTTTTGGTTAGTAGCCGAGCTCTTAGGGCTCCCTGGATAGGAAAGGACTACTTAAATGAAAATTTACTATACATATAGAAATACAGTTAGACAAATTTTAATACACAAAATTCTGACAGGACTTGTATTGATTTATAATAACCATATAAATTGTTTGATCGTAAATAAATACTAGTTTCCAAAAGATCTAAAATAGTTTGTTCCTTTAAACAACACCCTCTTGAAATTTTATTAACAAATACTATTTTGTTTATTATTCTTCATATGTAGACAAACACCTCCATACAATTTATCTTAATTTTGAATTAAGAAAGTCTCAGTGAATGAGATTTTAGTTAAGTCTAAAATTAAGTTTGTCCAGATCATCTGCTTCACTGTTAGTACAAATGCTATTATCTTTAGATATTATTTTGATTTTTTATTTAAATGCTAACTGAAACAAGACATGGATTTTTCACTACATAAGGTAGGGGGAGGTGGGACAGAAGGGGGTGGGACAGGTAAATACCATTAGAAAGTACCAGGCTTCCTGAGAGATAATGTAATTTAACTCTTTTGGTATTCCTAAAATTAAATTAAATTAATGATATTAATATATGGAGAGTTTCTTTGCCTTTACTGTAAAACGGTTCATGTTTATTGACTGAGTAAATAATAATAGTTAACACTGATTGAGCACTTACTATATGCCAGTCAATGTCTTAAGAGCTTTACACATTTAGCTCTTTTAATCTTCACAATAGCCAAATGAGGTAGATATAATACAGAGGAGAAAACGATAAAGAAAAAAGTGTCACTTCACCATGATTTGAACTCAGAAAGTATGATTCCATAGCCTGTATTCTAAACTATTACACTATAGTAAATCTTGTTTTGAACAATTTCGCTAATAGCAAGTGCACCCTTTTAATATACAAGTAATATTTCTAAAATTATATGTTATATTTCTAGAAAATTCTAATAACACTATATAGCCCAAATATTATACCTCTAATAGAAACATACAAAATTCATATTTTTAACAATGAAGATAATGTTCACATTATCAGAAAAGGAAAGACTTTGAAAATAACTCTTAACTTGTAGATATTAAGGCTGAAAACAAATGGAATTCCTACAAAATAGTTTGTGTTACAGTATTAATACTTTCCCATGTTTTTAGGGCAAATGAACAAATTCACAACGCATGTTTAGTTTAACTACACTATGACAAAATTAAGGCCCCAAACTATTGTATATTATAAAAGTGATAGAAAAGGCTAAACTTCCTTATCTGTATCTTACACTCTGTGGTAATATGATGTAGCTGGAGAAGAAAATAAAAATAAGTCAGGCATGGTTTAAATCTATCACACAGCTCTGGAAGGCACAAACCCATCACACAGCTTTCAAGAAGATCTCCATAAAAAGATCATGTTTGCTGATAAACTATCCCATTTCTAATAATTCTACCAAAATGAACTCTAAACCACCTCACTTCTTTCCCCCTGCTCATTAAAAGCTTGGACTTACTCCATTATTACAGCAAAATGACATACAGGCTGAATAAAATCATGAAACACTTTTTTTTCATTTCCTTTAATTTATAGAGTATAAGCATCTTTTTAAAAATCAAGATTCCATTGTCTACATTAATTTCTTTACGGCAGAAATGCCAAAGCTTCATGTTACTTCATAATTTCTAAATGCCTAAGTCAACTGGCTAATAAGAAATAAATCAAATATTCTCAAATGAAAAATAAAGTATATAACCTACCTTCATCATACCCACCTCTCACACATTCACACCCCCTTACCTGTGTTTCTGCACTGCTTAATGAATGAAGATCCAAGGATGGGTCTGTTTTGAGTTCAGGTTCAGGAGCTGCAATTGGGGCCTTTAAAATGATCTCTTCATCAAGACTGGTTCCAAATTCTATCTCTTTCTGACCTCCTTCACTTTTCTCTTTAGCTAACTCTATGTCTTTGCCTTCTTCCTCAGAAACCTGAGATTTGGGCCTTTTGAGAAATGAGGAGAACAGCCGTGAGAGGCCCCTGCTTTCTGATGTCCGGTCCTTGTTCTTGGTCAAGTCTTCATGTGTAGGAGTGTCTCCATTAGATGTTTTAAGCTTCTGCTCACACTGATTATCTCCCTCAGGTGCTGTTTGAGAAGCCTCCTCCAGCTGAGTTTCTTGTTGGCCTGAGTTTACGGCTCCCTCACCTTCTTCCTTCTGTTGTTGGTGCTGTGAATTTTCAGCCTCAGTCACTAAACTCTTCTCTGTTGTCATGATGTTGCTATTAAAAACAAGACGTAAAAATGAGGCTCTTATAAGCAAAACACATTACTGTAGGCCAAACCCTAAATCAGATCAAGTGTGCCAAAATTAATATATTTAGGTATTTATTTAATCACCATCAAATAGTACCCCAAGTCCACTAAACATGAGAATTCCTATTAATGTACAAAAAATCTTACCTATACATCCTGAATAAATTATTAATGCCTTGAGTCACTAAAGATATGCATGTAGAGAGACTGCCTTAAAATAACACCCACTAAAGCCACCTTAGTGAAATGTATCATATTTTAAATTCGATGCTATGAGCTGTATATAGAAAATCCAGTTTTATCCTTCCTAAAAAAAAAAAAATCTCATTTGTATACTGTCCTTTGAGGGTATCAATCTGAAGGTGCAAGATTTACAGGAATTATTCTCTGCAAAATTCTCTGCACGCCAAGAAATGATGAGATTAAATAGTTCCCCAACTTTGTTCTCTTTCTTTATATTTCTTAGAATGCATAGACTTCTCTGTTAGAAACAGAAGATGCAGAATTCTGATCATTTGTTATCAGACTTGACAACAACAAAGGCAAGTATACAGTTAAAACAATAGCAAAAAATTCTTTAGGTTTTCATGTTCATAATATCAAACTATAGCCTCTTTTAGAATATACAGTTTTAACTTCAAGACTCTTCTTCATTCTGACAAATATGATTTTGAAAGCTCAGCATTTTATTATTTTTATTTTTTATTGTACTTTAGATGAAGGTTTACAGAACAGTTTCTCATTAAACAGTACACATACTGTTTTATGACAATGGTTAACAACCTCACAACATGTCAACACTGTCCCTTCTCAACCTTGAGTTCCCTATTACCAGCTTTCCTGTCCCCTCCTGCCTTCTAGTCCTTGTCCCTGGGCTGTTGTGCCCCATTAGTCTCATTTTGTTTTATGGGGCTGCCTAGTCTTTGGCTGAATGGTGAATCTCGGGAGTGACTTCATTACTGAGCTAAAAGGGTGTCCGGGGGCCATACTGTTGGGGTTTCTCCAGTCTCTGTCAGGCCGGTAAGTCTGGTCTTTTTTCTGTGAGTTAGAATCTTGTTCTACATTTTTCTCCAGCTCTGTCCGGGACCCTCTGTTGTGATCCCAGTCAGAGCAGTCAGTGGTGGTAGCCGGGCACCATCTAGTTGTACTGGACTCAGTCTGGTGGAGGCCGTAGTAGTTGTGGTCCATTAGTCCTTTGGACAAATCTTTTCCTTGTAACTTGTTTTCTTCATTCTCCCTTGCTCCCGAAGGGGTGTGACCAGTGGAGTATCTTATATGGCCGCTCACAGGCATTTAAGACCCTAGACGCTACTCACCAAGATAGAATGTAGAACATTTTCTTTATAAACTGTGTTATGCCAATTGAGCTAGATGTTCCCTGAGACCATGCTCCCCACAGCCCTCCCCCAGCAATTCAGTCCCTCAGGGAGTTGGGATGTGTCTATGGAGCTTCCATGACCTTTCCTTGTACAAGCGAAAGCTCAGCGTTTTTAAGAGTGGAAAGTAAAACTACCATAAGTATACCCCAGAGAAGAAAAATTTAAAAGGCAAACACTGATTCACTTGCAGGAGAGAAGGAAAAGCTATGGACCTCAAATATTTCAAACTTGTTGGTTTCTAGTCTCTTGATTTCAAAATCCCGGGATGATTAGTCAACGTTACAATACTAGTTAAAGAGCATCGTCACACTTAGTTTACTAAAGAATTAACCAGCATACAAGGGGACTTTTGAGACACTGGGCAATGAAGTTGACTGTTGATGAGCTTACACTTAGATTCACTACTATACCTAAAAGTACTCCCTGCTCATTAGCTTGGATGTCACCTCCTTAGAGAGGCCTACCCACACCAGATCTTGGCTCTCACTCCCCCAGATACCTTCACAACACTACTGCATTTATCATTACCTGCAATTATTTGTTTATTGATTTATTGTCCTGCTTTTCCTTGCACCCCCAACCCCTCGCCCAGCTAAAATCTAAGTTCTGTGAGGACAGGGCCCTTGTCTGTCTTTTTTTTTATCACTGTATACCCAATGCCTAGAATAGTACCTGGCACATAATAGGTGTTAATAAGTGTTTGTTGAATGAATTAATTGCAACTGAATATAACTGCCAAAGATAGACTGCAAAGGTGTTTTTTAAATAATTTATCCAAGCAAATTTACTTCAGATGCATAATATTCATTCACCAATTCATTCAACAAAAAATACTTATTAAGCACCTAGTACAGATTCTGTGCTAAGTGCTAGGGATATATCAGTAAACAAAACAAAACAAAGTCTATGTCATCATGGAGTTTACATTCTTGATTCAACTTTAATCAGTATAATGAAAGAAAAATTCAAGAGAAATTTTATTTGAAATATGAGCTAAATCTAAAAAATTATGTATAAATGCAGCAAAGAAGTGAAAAGGAAAGAAAGCTAACATGTATTGTGCACAGTTTCTGTGCTAAGCCCTTGTCAGAAGCATTAACCTATATTATCTCAAATAAGCCTTTCAACAATCCTGCAAGGAAAGAAAACTCACTCAATATTATAGTTGATTGAAGAAACTGAGACTCAGAAAGTAACCTGTCCAAGGTCACACTGTTAGTGTGTAGTACTGAAATTTCAAAAATTGAAAAAAAAAACACCTGTTGCCATTGAGTCGATTCCAACTCATAGCGACCCTACAGGACAGAGTAGAACTGCCCCATAGGGTTTCCAAGGAGCAGTTGGTGGATTCGAACTGCTGACCTTTTGGTTAGCAGCTGTAGCTCTTAACCACTGTGCCACCAGGGCTCCAAAATAAATAAAGGTATACCAATAAAAAGACAAGGCTTTATACGGGCTCTTGCTGCCAATCTGCTCAAATTATTTTATTTTAAGCATTAAAAATATTTGTTTAGAGATGTACATTTTCTAGCCTCATTTACTAAGTCATCAAAATTTCTGAGCCAATAAAATTTGTAATCCATTTATCAACCAATATCCATTTTTTAATGTTAACCCTGACTAAGGCACACTTATACTTGAATAAAGGAAATAAAATTGTCTTCAATTCCTCTTTATATTAGGCATAATTTTCAAATTATTTTTATTTAATCCTAAAAGTAACCAAACTTAACCCAGAAAAACAAAAATTTTAATTCCAAAATACCAGTTATTCTGAAAGAATAATGATTTGAGAGCATCATTTTACTTCATATTTCCTTTGTAAAAATAAACAAAGGACATGCTGAGGATTTAGCACTATTTTCCATGGATTCCAGATATGGCTTCATCATTCATCTGATTGAAAAAGCAAGGAAACCATTCCTATATTGAAATTTTTCTACACAAGACTTTACATCAAGATCTCTCATAAAGATCTACAAGAAATTACAAATGCCTTGTGAAAGTTTTAGCAGATATGAAAATCACTTAAACTCTATTTCCAACTGTCTTTTACTTGTTTCTTTCAGAAAACAAAGAGTATTCTTGTATTTTACAATTTTTTCCTTATAGTTTTAAAAATAGAAAACATCTTCTAAGGATATTCCTAAAATTGCTTTTACATGAAAAGGTATTTTATCTCTAAGAAAGCAGTTGAATGAGTGTAACTACCCTTTGATTATTAAAAAAAAAAAAAAAAAGATGGTAACCATCCATGTGCTATATGTCTGGTTGTTAAACAGAGAGAAGTCAAGCAGCAAAAACAGGATAAATGTTCTACAAACAGGCCCTTCCTGTGTAAATGATACTACTTTCATTCTGGAGACAAAATCCAAAAGGAGGTATCTATTTACTTAATGTCAGAAAGAGGTCTTTTGATTAAAAAAAAAAAAAAAAAAAAACAGCACAGTGCTGAAGTCAAAGTGATGAGTTCCTGTTTCATCTCAATCTTAACCCTTCAAGCCCTAGAAATTGTATCTCACCTGGTATCAAAGATATACTTGTTTTAATAATGTACATCTGTTGACTTCAGGCAAAGCAGATCTTTAAAAACCTGACACTGAACAGACTATAACTGTTAGACAATATCTTTCATCTTTTTTGTATCTTACATTAGTACCGTAAGTGCTTTGTTAATATTTCTTAGGTGGAAAAGTTTGTAAAAATATTACAGCTTGGCACCACTAAGAAAATTAACCTTATGATCTCTATTTAGGGATGAAGTTTAATTATTTAATTATTGGTAATGCTCTTCAAATTAGTTCAATGAATATCTATCAATGTTTACTGCATGCTAACCACATATAAGGTTTTGGCTCAGCTCCCTGAAAAGGACCAAAAAAGAATAATACACAGTTCTTCAGGAGATAAGACAGATACACAAATAACTAAAACACAAGGCAGAACGTGATTAAGACTTCATAAGTGGTTCTAACTAAGCATTAAATAACTATATAAAGTAAGAACTTTCAACTAAAGTGATCAGGAAAGCCCACGTGGAAAAGGTGTTTTGGGTTTGTTGTTTATTTAATTTTATTGTGGTAAAATACATATAACAAAAAAATTGCCATGGTAAGCATTTTTAAGTGTACAATTCGGTGACGTTAATTATATTCACTGTGTTGTGCAACCATCACCACTATCTATTTCCAAAAGTTTTTCAATACCCAAAAGAGAAACTTAGTACTCCTTAAGCAATAACTCCCCATTCCTTCCTTCCCCATCCCCTGTTAACAACTAATAAACTTTCATCTCTATGAATTTGCCTATTCTAGATATTTCATATAAGTGGGATCATAAAATATTTACCCTTTTGTTGTTAGGTGCCATCAGGTTGGTTCCAACTCATAGTGACCCTACGTACAGCAGAAAGAAACACTCCAGTCCTGTGCTATCCTCATGATGGTTGCTATGCTCAAAGAGATTAAGCCTGTGGCCCCACCCTTGAGATCCAGGAGACCATGGTCCCACCCTTTGAAACCAAGAAGGCTGTTCTTCCTGTGCTCCTTCCAACAGTTCTGCTAATCTCTCAGCTGCTCCAGGGATGG